TAATAAAATTTTTAAAATATTTGTTTAACTAATTCGATATATTTAAATAAAAATTATTATAATATGAGAATTTTTAAAGGTTTAATTGTAGCTTATATGAAACACTAAAGTAAAACTCTCTTTCTTTCTCTCTCCCTGTATCCCATTCACTCACTCGCTCTCTCTTTCTCTCACGCAGTCTCTCACACACCCTCTAACTCACTCTCTCTCTTTCTCTTCCTTCCTTTCTGATTTAAAAATCTGCTAGCATTCTACATTAAGATTTTAATGTCATCTATTATTTCCACCATCAAGAGTATCGATGGATCATTGAAATTTCTTATAATATAGTAATATACATATATTATATCATATTTACTATTATGATCATGTTATGTTAAATGGAATATTTTTATTATATATTAAATACATACAAAAATTTAATCATGCCTTTTTCTAAGGTTTTCTCTATTCCTTTTTTTATAACAGATAGAAAGGATCCATTAAACTGGGTTTTCCATCAACAGTGGACCTTTGGAACCATCGATGGCAGCACCGCCTGCCGCCACTAACTGGGACTCATGCAGCTCTACCTATAGCTTCGTCCACTCCCTATACGCAGCTTGTATTTGATGTCTTTTGTACATTCAATATAGTCAACTGCAGCTTACGCTTATCTCTCTCAACCCTTTTCCATGACGATTTCCAGCAACTGCGTCACTTGGCTGTTGCTTTGTCACCTTTAGCAGCCGCCAACATTTTTTGTTTGTTGCTAACGCTCCCCTTTCCACTCTGCCCCCTCTCACGACTTCTGTTGGCCGCCCCGCCCCCTCGTGCACTTATGACCAGCCTCCACCCCTTGCGAAATGCATTTACCTCCAGTCTCCTGCTTCGGCTTCTGCTCGCTGTCTGCCGCTGATTCTTTTTCTGTTTTCAGTTCCTGTTTCGGCTTCTGTTTCTGCTATTTTTAACAATTTTTTTCGTACGCAATTTTTGTATACTTTTTAGCAATGACCACCGACTGCCCCACCAGCCGCCCCTTCCTCCCGTTAGCCTTGCTGTTTGTCTGTCGCATTTCTCTTGCTTCTTGTTGTTTATTGAAATTTTTGGTTGATCTTGTTGCTGTTGTCATTCCTGCTGCAGTTTTTATTTTAGGCGCCCGTTGAGAAAACACAAAAGCTTTGCATTTTTATGCAACTGTTGCCTTCTTTTTGGGCCACACTCGCATGAGCTATGGGCAGTGCCTGCGAGAGTCTCGCTGTCTGTGTTGGTGAACGCTTTTCTCTGCACTTCTCATTCGCTGCCGTCGCTGCGTTTTCATCAAGAAAACGAAAAAGTAGCGCCTGTGTGCCTGCTGCTGATTGGTCCCGTTTCGCCCAGCCCTCTCCCTTGCCCTGGGGCCTACCCCTGCCCATAGAGCAGCACAATGACAACTGCAGAAACATTTTTGTTTTAGCCGTAGAGCAACACACCCATTTTATTGTCCATCCATTGTGCGACGGGCTCAACGACCATTCCAGCCATACCCAGCTCCAGCTCCAGCCCCTGACATTTCATGTGTATATCCAGCAATTGGCCATTAGCTTGGCCTGAAATGCCTCAGCCTGCCGAATGAAGTGCATAAGGACACTAGTCGCAATTCGAAAACGTAACACCTTAATGTGCTATGGTACAAGCAAATTCTGAATATTCACTGGAGACTTGAAAGGAAATAACTCTATGTGGAGTCCAAGGAATGTTTATATTTTCTACTCCCAAAAAATTATATATA